ATGGTTGAGACTATATATACCGGAACACGTTTTCAATAAAATTCAGTTGAAAGTTGCGCCTTGTTGTGTCCTCTTCTCTGCTTTTGTCCTCGTCTTTGTTGCGCACAAGATTGTATAAGAGGTTCCTCCCGCACATCTTGAACGTCACGGCATCCAGACAAGTCCTCCTGAATAAAACTACTAGCTCGACTTGCAGCATGAAGAGCAAGCGGCCTCTGAAAAGGTCAAAGAACTGCTGACATCTTACCGATACATGGCTAAGTGTCACCCATCTCAAGGGCTGTCCAAGCAGGACACTGAAAAGAATGTGTGAAGCGACACATGCCTGCCATATGAAATGCGACAATCTGCTTCCGTCTGCTTTTTTTTTTTTTTTTCCGGGGAGAAAGCTTCCCTTTGCCAACGCTGCTTGTGTCCTTCAGGGAGGCCTGGAGCATGCTCATCACATGGGTCCGGACAGCCACTCACACGCTCTGCTGGCTTTCAGTCAATTGCTCAAGGCCCCTGCTGCTGTTCAGTCCTGGAAACAAGAAAGGGAAGGATACGAGGCCTTCATGCCGTGGCAACGGCAGTAGCGAGGTCGTGAGCTGTGGTAGAACAGATGGACAGGCAACAGGCACAGCATTGGTGGGTGACGTGAGATATCAAGTCCGACGAGCACCGATCACAGAAAAGCAGAGAAGGTGGAAAGCCGCGACGTTTGCCTGGTGGATGTTCAAACAGAAGACGGAGTGCCAGACTTGAACTTTTACTTCATAGGCCGGAAAAGTGTCGTTTCCCGTGTTCTGAGGTATCCCGTTTGGACACCCCTTTACGCCGCAACAGTGTCTGTAGACACGAGTTCTTTCGGATTTGACGTGGTCCTGTTTTAGACTCGGCCAACGGGAGAACGCCGACCAGTTGCCTTTGCTTCACGGTCATTGACCGAAACTGAGCAAAGATACAGTCAAACAGAAACGGAGGCCTTGGCAGCGGCGTGAGCCATCCAGCGGTTTGCCAAGTTCATGTCTGGCATTAATTTTAAAGTGGAGAATGGCCACCAGAAAATTGTATTGCAGTTTAGAAAGATGGAGCTCCATATGCTATCTCTTCGGGTGCAGAGGCTCGGGATAAAGATGATGTGCTACCAGTTCCGGATGCTGTACATGCCTGGAAACTTCTGGCCACAGCAAATGCACTGTCGCGAATCCCCACCTCGGCATTCCGTCCCCTGGACACCGTGGAACTCGCTTTCTGGCACCGTGGAAGGGCTGCTAGTATACCTGAAGGACATGAGAAAAACCCAAGACTCCCACGGCGAGTGCGGTGCAGTTATATTGTTTTGCCAGTGCGGGTGGCCGCAGAAGTCCAGTTGCCATTGTACCTTTCAAAGTATGCTACGGTGATGAGTGAACTTTCCGTCTGTGATGGTCTTCTTAAGGGTGCTTGTTTGGTCATCCCCTCTTCACTGAAATCGGCAGTGTTGGCGCTGGTGCATAAGGGACACCAAGGCATCAACCGCAGCAAAGCTTGAAAGCAGCGGTGGAACGGCTGCGCCATTTGAGCCATTTTGTGCCAGACGCATGTGTCTGCGCCATCCTGCGCCATGTTGCTGAAACTGTGCCACAGCCAATACCTCGCGCCATTATGTGCCAGATCGCAAAACGTGCGCCAAAAAACTTTTTATTTTGTCTTGGTTTCGGTTGTATTGACTCGATTGGCAACAACGAGCGTGTTTAGTCTGGTCGGCCTTGCAATCCTTTGTTCTGTTTATTTCCCCCTGTGTATCCCGAGTCGAAAGCGCGCAAAAAAACTCGGATTCTAAGCGCTACACCACCTGCGACTGGATTGTTATTCTTCAACCATAAGCGGTTAAGCAAGTCGGCCGAGGTGAGGTCGAGTCGTTAAGCGTCAGATTGCCTGAGGCTCTGCGGCCCGGGATCCGGGATCTGGACGTCAGCCAGTTGAAAACAAATGAGCTAAAGATTCCTTTTAGTACTTTATCGTTAGAAGTTGGAACCTTATTCTCGCAAGATGAATCGTGATTTGATAGAACTGAAACGCGGTCCGATCCGAAACCTTGCCGGCCAGCAGCTCTTATGCGAGTGGTAGATCTACTCGGCATACTTTAACCTTGTTCCTGCTTATCGCTTCAAATACGATGACTTCGTTAATCGTAGTCTGCTGCTTCGATATTGAGTTGCACAATAGGATAAACTCAAAATTTGTGTCCCTGTTCCTCCGTGCAACTGCACGTCCGTTGCTTACGCACGTCACGTGGTTCGCACATATAATTACTATGTCGAGCATGTGTGGGTTGTGCGATAAGCAGTGCTGGTTTGCATTTTGAGCAGCTGAAAGCCACTAAGAAAATATCAAGGACGGTATCTTTAGAAACATAGGGTACTTGCTTTTTGATTCTCATTAAGGCTCACAAAGTTTCAAGTTTTCGCATCTGTTACACTGTTATCCCATCTACCTAGGTCCCTAACCACTCATGTTCATCTGTGCTGCTAAGCACGATTGCAATTGCTCCTGCATTTGTCTAAGACACAAGCTGAAGTGCAGTGAAAGCTGATCTGAGCTGCTCCTGGCCTGCTCCAGAATGTAATTTTAGCTGCTCCCAACCTGCTCCAAAACAACTGTTTCAGCTGCTCCCGTGGCTGCTCCCAAGTACATTTCATGAGTTCCACCCCTGCGAAAGTCAGTATGGTGGCCAGGCATAACGACCGGGATTATACCTCTAAACTTGCTAACTGTGAACAGTGCGCCTCTACTCGAGTGAACTTCCAGAGCCGATGGTCTCCTCCCCGTTCTCTGGTCGTCCATAGGAGGCATGAACCTCCTTCACATCGACAATTGGACTTTCATCCTGCTGTATCATTCTGCTGTATGATTAAGGACCTAACCCCAGCGAAACCTGGAAAGCTTGGCTTTAATTATCTGCTTTCAAAGAAAATATAGTTCTCAAACGTTTGTTCAAATGTTCCTGTGCACAGTTCAGCCCAGCTCAATTTACGCCGAGTGAACTCAGAACTTGGGCTACCAAATAAAAAAGACGAGGTGGGCTTCTGTGGGGTTTTTCCAAAAAATGGGTGAAATCTTGTCTGGTCACCACAAAGTTTGTCCAATAGATAAAACTGAAAAAACCCAAAACATAAATTAGGACAAAAAAAAACAAATTTTTTTAGTTGCAGACGCTGTAAGCTAAAGTGCTTTGCTATACTTTAGGTACACACCAGCGCACGCCTTCGACATCACGCCGCTGCAGTGGTACCATTGTCGCCATGACGCACGCACAGAAACTTCACTTGCTCGGATCTGATTTCTGACCATTCACAGTGTCCATACCTGGTGTGGTCAAACGCAGAGTGGCTTGTAAAGGGTGCATCGGTCTATATCACATGCTTTTGGGTATTGATTTCTAAATGTTTGTTTTTAGTTTCTGTTTTCTTTGTTTTTCCTTTATTCCTCCTTCACCTTTCCTCAGCATCAAGTAGCAAGCCAGCGTTATTGAGCACAGTTATTCTCTTTGTCCTTTAAATAAGTCATTTCCTTTTTCAACTCAAATAGTGGTACGAACTAAAAAAAGTTTGTGGTCGAGACTCGTAGTGTTGCCCCTTTTCTTTCAGTGGGTACCTAATGCGAAGAGCAAGTCATCTGCTTCTTGCTCAGGCCTCGCAGTGACGTCAGAACGACGCCGAGTTCGGATTGGCTTAGATTGAAAGGATAGTGGGTAGACCTCAATGCTAGGTGCCTCGAGGTCTACCCACTATTTTGTTTTCAATCAGCCAATAAGAGCTCAGCGTTCTGACATCCTCTCAGCCCCTGTGCAAGATGCAGACGAACTTGCACTCTGCATACATTCCAAAATAGCGAGACAAACTTTGTTGCCTTTTAGTTTAAGTTTGGTCATTTGAGGCAGGCATGGTACGAACATGCAGTGTTGTACATATTGTAGTTTCTTTGCATTGTCGGGATGCTAACTAATGCGTCTGTACAAATATTGCATATAATCTGACGTGTAAAGGGTGTGTGGGCACATCTTTCTCATCAAAGAGTAAACCGTTGTTCTTTTTTAATGCAGCGTTTGCCACATGATTCTTCATTGTGAACTGGCAGCTCATTGGTATTTGTTTTTTTGCTCGACATGACTTTCTCTGCATGTGATGTCATGGGAACATTGGAAGTGTTACTGTCTTACCGAGTCGAACGGTTCTTTTTGCCAAGTGGACTACTTGGCACCATTCACCGACTCCTTCCCATGATCACCGGCTCACGTCGCCCGGACATGTTTGGGTGGAAGTGCGCAACTTCCCGTCATAAATATTTCAGTGCAGCTTTCCAGTGCCTGATGAGTGGCGTTCGGGATGGTGCAACGGATACACGAATTGCGCAGATTGTAACGCCCTGCTATGTTGGACGCTACTTGAGGCTGGTTCGGATGTCTGGGTGTGACCGCTTACAAGGAGTCGGTGGTTGTGACTATTTCACAATCTGTTGTAATGCAAGGTGTCATTCGGCCACATTAAAACGTCTGAGCCAGCCTTGGTCGAGGGTTGATGGCATAAAGACAGCTTAAACTGCAAAACTGCCACGTAAAGCAGTGTTTTCATAATCTTTAGGCCTGGCCAATAAACCTTTTTCAAAAGTGTGCACAATCTAGCAGCTGCTGCGCCAATTATCCGAATCCGTCGTCGTTTGGGCAGGTATTGCGAGCATGTATTGGACACGAGGGCCGCATTGCCATCCGCCGCTAGCCCCGTGTGGCTCGTATCGAGACCAATCGTGCGGCGTACGGCGAGGACGCAGGTTCAATGACGCGCATCGTGCCGGGAAAATGGTGACTGCTAATGTTGCCTGACAGGTTTCTGAAAAGAGTATCGAGTGATCCCCAGCCGAACACCTTGGATTGCGTGGAAGACTGGGGTCTGGATGTTAGCGAGGTCTCGCTCGTAACGTGGCTGTGCGACACTCCCCTCGTCCCTTTTGGTGTCGTCGCTGACGTGTTCCTGGTGCAGGTGATGGGCATGGTGCTCCTGATCCTCGGCGTGTGGATGAACGCGTCGCTGTACCACTTCCTGCGCCTCTCGGCGGACTACAACCAGCACATGCCGCTGGTCTTCATCGTCACAGGCATCGTGGTGGTCGTGGTGTCCATCCTGGCTTGCATCGGCACGGCCAAGGGCCAGTCTGCCATCCTGTACATTGTGAGTGGACGACTCCTCTCTAGCAACCCTCACAGAGGTTGGCGTTTTAGGCTCGACTCGTTCACCCGCAACCAGCTCGGAATAAAACATTGCCATTCCCCAGTGGTGTAGCCAGGAATTATAAATGGAGGGTGTTTAACTTTTTTTGGCGGAGTTGGAGGAAGAGGAGGAGAAAGAAAATATTAAAGTTCTATTATTCCTGCATTAAAAAAAAAGTGCACAAGCCTGCATTGTTTGCTTCTGTGAAAACTAAGGGACTCGATTTTTAAAACAATTTGCCTCATTAAGGGATCTCTGGAAGAAATAGGGAAAAGAGTGTCATTGCGAACGATAAAGTCTACAAATTAAGTTACTGGCCTTTCATCATACTCTCTTTTGCTGTATGAACCGGGGCTCTTGCTGAAACTCTTAAGATAATGACATCTACGTTTTGATAGTGAGCGCAAGAGAGAGAGAACCAGCGAAATCATCTCGGGTGGCATTCTGACCATCAAACATACCCCATGGCTACGCCCCTGCCATTTCCTCAACCTCAACCTCCCGACCTAAAGTAAACTCAGAACTCCCGCACCCTCATGTCCACACTTACCTTCAGTCCATCACTCATGAACTAATGAACATGCCAATCTCACGAAATCGCCAAACTTGAGAGCTCGTGCCCCGCGTTGCATCCCGGAATCGCAAGATTTTGAGGCTTAGAAACTCCCTCACTCTCACCTCCCGTCTCAAGGTGTAAGGGTGAGTGAAGTAAGCGAGTGCACTTGGAAATACGTTTTGCCTACACACAGTCTGTTGCAACATTTCCTGCTGGCAGAGCTTGATCAAAGCTTGGCACTTATTAGAGCATCTTTGTTTGTGTCTGCATTTCAGGGCTGACGACATGCCAGGAAGCATGCTTCTTTGTTGTTTTTATTAGGTTGGAGGTTTGGCGGCGAGATGAGTGTGGTTTCTCTTGTTATCAAAATTGCAAAACATAGCGTAAATTGTGATGTGAAATTGCTCGATAGAGTGTTAACTCTGCTACATATAACAAGCTCATTTGAAAAAAAGAGAAAAAAAAGCTGAATTTAGTTGATCTTTTGAAATGATCCCATGCTGGTGTTACCTGAGATTAGAGGCAAAACTGCTCTCTTCAAAATTGTTTCCTCGAGTGAAAATGCCCATTCTTTTCCCGAGCTCGTAGGTTACACATTTTGGGTGCTTCTCATTGGTTCTTGAAGTGATACATAGTTTACACTGGCAGTAAATAGAATCCTCAGTGGTTTTTATGTTCAGTTTGGGTGTTGACAGTGTATGCAATGCACTAAAACATTCTGGCGGGCTAGTTGGTTACACATAATTAAATTACAAATAGCGCTAGGACGAGGACAGACGAAGAAGTGGACAGGACAGGCGCTACAAATAGCGCCTGTCCTGTCCACTTCTTCGTCTGTCCTCGTCCTAGCGCTATTTGTAATTTAATTATGCAATGCACACCACTGATCCATAGAAGATGAGACTTCTTTGGGCTTCCAAAGGGTACCATTGGCCCAGAGTTATTCTTGAGCAGATTTTATCGGTGAAGTGAAGATGTTTACATTTTTCTTGACAGCAACTTTTAGCACTGCCTGGAATGAGCTTCTCTGCTCTCCCTCAAATTGATTGTTGCTGTTGCTGAGTTGTGACATCAGAGTGTCGAACCGAAATTTTTACAGGTTCAGCTCGGCTTCGGGGTCACAGCTTTCGGTTCAGTGTTCCAGGTCAGTTCATGGGAGCAAAATTGACGGTTAAACCGGTTCAAACCAATATGGACTGCTAAATTGAGAATATATTTTCTGCATTGTTTTGGCAGTAGGCATTATTTTCACGATGAAACAAGTAAATATATGGTTTTATCGTTCCTACAATCCACTTTTATTTTCAGATACCAGAAATAAAAAATTGTGTTTTGATGCAACAGTAAAAAAAAGAAAGAAGTCTCTTTCTTCTTTACAACTCAACATCCATTTGTTTACCTCAGCCCCAATCTTTTATCTGAAACGAAAGGTTGTCACAAAGTGTGGTATAGGTCGCCTAAAATATCCGTGATTGTTACAACTTCGTGTCGCAGTATCGAAAGTTGAATCGTAGTTGTGCTCTTCAACTAAGGAATTAATTACAGTGAATAAAATCAGGCAATGGGCAGCTTGCCGCAATATATATTTTGAAATATAGTTTAAGAAATATGTTTCACAATACAGATGTTTTAATAATATTTCACGATGAACTGTCAACTTACTCACTCCCCAATTGCACACATTTTGAGGGACATCACCACGCACTGCCTTCACACATTGTTGACTTGATCCAGTTTCTCGGTCTCCTGTGTTCAATGGTTTATCCAGTTAGTTTGGTCACCTTTGTTCAGTCCACGCAGCTCTCTGTGAGCCTGTGCCATCACCTGCATAGAACATTGATTGTTACACTGTTTAATTGATCCCAGATGATGACAGTGACAAATCAGGTGCCATGACTGATCGTATGATCAGTCGTGTGCTCGTATGGGGCATGACCACAGCAGGAAACATGCACACCATCCTTGTTCTTCAAAAGAAAGTGATTCGATATGTGCCACGCTTACAATCAACCGCACAATTGTTCATATATTATGGTAAAATAAGCGTAAAAGATATTTGTGAACTTCGTTAATTGCATTCTTTATCCTTGTCGAATAAAACTTTTAGATCATTTTTAAAAATGACATCTGACCTATCGAAACAAATAAGCAACCCTCGCACCCGCAGCTGTGACAGGTAGTTAGTGCCACGCCGGCGTATTGAATACTTCTCGCAGTCGCTGACATATAACTTACCTTTTATTTTAAGCAAGTATCTAGAATGAAATATTAACTTTGATACAATTACTAGTAAAAAAATGTGAGAATTTTTTGTAAACATTCAATGACGATGCATTAGTCTCTATCTTGTATGTGGCAAAGTTTTGGAGTTTAAGCCTTTATTGTAATTTTTGCTACATAACAAGTCATCTGGGAAAATTTGATCAATGTCATTTATAATTCCATCAACTCTAGCTAATTTTTTTATTTAGTGTTTTACATGTGCCATAAAGAATTATACACATTCATACGGTGTTTAAGTGTACTCATATTTTTACGAGTCATATTGTATTTTTTCACAAAACATTGTTGTCTGTATAAGCCCAGGCACTCTCAAGCTGCCGGCAGCTTTTTCGCCCAAGGACCCTCAACACTGTGTTGGAAAATAAAATTGAAATATTGAATTGAAATCTGTCTATTGTCAAGGTGTCTAGTGACCGGGAAAGATCAGGGAATTGTCAGGGATATTGTCAAAAAGCGAGCCTAGTCTGAGAAAATGAGCTAGAAACTCCATCGAGTGCCTTGAGCAAAGACTTTAGGACTTTCGGTCAGAAAAATGGGAAATCAATTCTGCTTAGATCAGAGCACAGGCTCTGCTCACCTGGTGTAAATTGTACTACTCGATGCCAAGGGAACAGCCGACAAATACAGTCCAAGCCTTGGATTGGATTGGTTGAGGCCGCGATACTAGGCTACATCCAGTTAGCCACTAGATTTTTAGTAACCAATGGAAAAGCCGCAGACCCCAATTCAATCCAAGCCTTAAGCCGAAAATATCCGAAAGTGTTTAGCTGGCGGCCATTTCAGTTGAGCGTCGTGTTTTCACAGTGTTTTCGTAAGTGGCCTCTTTACTGAAGATGAGGGCGGCAAGAAATTTAGTGCTCGTCTAATCCGGACTGAACAAACCCATATATATATTTCGGAATATGCAAGTTGGATTAAGCCCGTGCGAAATGATCATCACAGTTCTCAGTGCTCAATATCTTGTGTTGTAGTGGTCTTATATATTTAGCCGCCTCTACAGTGGTCAGGGAATTTCACCTGAAATTGTCAGGGAAAACCTGGAAAAGTCAGGGAATTTCAAAATAATAATTTGCTTGACAGCCTGATTGTGAAACATATTTCGTAAATCATATTTCACACTATAAATTGCAGCGAGCTGCCCATTCCCTCATCTTATTCACTGTAGTTAAATCCCTAGTTGAAAAGCACAACTATGATTCAACTTTTAATACTGCGACACAAAGTTGTAACAATCACAAGTACTTTAGGCGACCTATACCACACTTCGTGACAGCTCTTCGTTTCAGATAAAATATTGTGACTGAGTTAAACAAATGGATGTTGAGTCGTATAAACCCAACGTTTGGTATGTTGATCCAGACTTTTTTTTTTTTTTTTTTGCTACTGCATTGAAACATTATTTTTTATTTCTGGTATCTGAAAATTAAAGTGGATTGTAGGAATGATGAAACCATATATTTACCCGTTTCACGGTGAAAATAGTGTCTACTGGAAAGAACAAAGAAAATATATTCTGAGCTTAGCAGTTCAAATCGGTTCAAACTGGTTCGAACCGGTTAGAAGCTTAGAAAAGAAATATTGGATGAAACACTCGAGCAATCCACATGAACATTTAACAACATTTACCACTTTAGTCATGAAAGCATTTATTCCACGAGTGATTTTATAGCCTTAAAGCTTGTGCATTGTAATTCAAGTGTGTGTAACTCGCTGGTAGTATCTGGCTTTTGTGTGTTAAGGTCATGTGCAAAGGAGAAATGTCATGCACGACTATTATTGGTCACCGGTTATTTTTTAGCTCTGGGTCAACATTGTTCCGGTTGAAATATGCAAACAGCTCTTTGCAATTTACTTGATTTTGCAGTGATACGATTGCTGCACCGTTTGCTCCGAACTGTGTCAAAGTGCTTACTCTGCTGTACAATCAGCACGAAATGAAACCCGAACGCCGGAACGCGTGGCCGCTGATACAGGCTGCTCCACCTGGAGGGCCCCTGAGAACTAATAGGAATGCACCGGGGTTCGAGAGTGCGGGGCCTACTAAGATGAGCTTGACCATCGCGCGCCGCGCCTGGGAGTTCCGCGCTTCGGCGGTGGCGCGCTGTGAGCGCCGTCACATTCG